TTTTAGACAGTATGGCCTTTTAGGTGAGGGATAACTTACAGTTTGCAGGTAGCTCTGACTGCCGAGGCTGGATTTGATCATGGCTGGTGAGAGAGCATCAATTCACCGAGATTTGGCCTCATTATCACGGGGCACGGGCAGCTCCCCCTGAAAACCCGTGCCCGACAACACCCCAGCTTTGATTTCCTCCATACGGAACAGGCAATGGGAACAGCAGAGCTCGAGGGACGACCTGCGGGCATTAATTTGCTATTAGCCAATGATGGACACCTGTCCCATCATTGAAAAACTTGCCTTCATGTAAAAATACACCCCTAACAGTCACCTGGATCTTTTCAGCAGGCATAGTTTGAAAAGAAAAAAAAACTATTTCCTTAAGTTCTTTTTAAAATAAAGCTATATTAAACAGCCTTTTTAAAGCCACATTGGGAAGTAAGCATAAATTTAGAATCCCTCACATGCTTTCAGAAATAAAAGGGTCGGGCTTTTTAGTTTCTTAAGCATTCCCCTGTGCATTAAGAGTGATGATTTAGTATTCTCTTGAGAAGACAAGACTAAGGTGATACTTAGTGAAAAGCAGAAACCCTAAGGAAGTTCACAGGAACAACACAGCAGCTCTTAGAAACACCTCCGGGCAATCTTTCAGATTTCTGATCCGGATTAATAATGATGTTGTGCCACCACAGGGCCCATTTTCTTTACACAGTAAACAGTTACTGTCTCACGGAAGTCCCGTGGCCTTCCAGAAATGCATCGTCTCTGCTTTAATTTCAATAATGTTGAATAAAACTTAAAAAAAATTAAAAAGGTTCCCGTAGAAGAAGCCAATGTTCCTGGGGGAATGGAGTGCAGGGGACATGGGGTGGGCTTTTGAGGGTTTAGCTCATTACAGTACACAGCTTCAGGAAAAAAAAAAACCAAAAGTATTTTGAGAATATCTTAAGTCTTGCCTCATTTATTTCACTGCAGAGCAGCTCGAAGAGTAAGAGGCAAAATCATAGAGCAAATGCTGACTTCAGAGAAAATTCGGCGCTCAGCAAAGAGCTTCATTTGTAGACTCAAGTTGTATATTTTGGGATTTGATTCTTTTTGGTTGTTAGGTATATGGAAAGATCTCTTTATCAGGGAGCAGAGCGATAGGTCAAGGGGTAACAGTTTTAAACTAAAAGAGGGGAGATTTAGATCAGATATTAGGAAGAAATTCTTTCCTGTGAGGGTGGTGAGACCCTGGAACAGGTTGCCCAGAGAAGCTGTGGCTGCCCCAGGATCTCTTTATCAGGGAGCAGAGTGATAGGTCAAAGGGTAACAGTTTTAAACTAAAAGAGGGGAGATTTAGATCAGATATTAGGAAGAAATTCTTTGCTGTGAGGGTGGTGAGAGCCTGGCCCAGGTTGCCCAGAGAAGCTGTGGCTGCCCCATCCCTGGAGGGGTTCAAGGCCAGGCTGGATGGGGCTTGGAGCAACCTGGTCTGGTGGGAGGTGTCCCTGCCCAGGGCAGGGGGGTTGGAACTCAAGGATCTTTAAGGTCCCTTCCAACCCAAACCATGCTGTGATTCTATGATATAAACCTAATTTGAACTAAAACCTAAACTCCCACAACACAACAGGTCCACCATTTTTGAAAGCCGGGGATTAAAAAGCCACAGGGTGTTTGTTTAAATTAGAAGTTTTCTTCACGTTTTATGTTAATCTCAAACTGTAAGGACAACAGTATTTCTCTATGCTATGAATCTCTAAGATCTAGAAACTGTGACCCACAAAACCCAGCGAAAAACCACTGAACAAAACCGACCCATCAGTCTGCTCGTGGATGTGGAAAAGCAGCAATACAACATACGAGCCCAACAGCTTCAGCCAGCACCAGTGTCAACACAGAACTGGTCAGAATGGGATAACATAAAAACAGAAGAACTTAATGAAAAGTAATTGTTTCTTCCTCCCAACCACCTGAAGTACTTCTTAACATACAGAAATCTAAAATAAGTAACATGTAAGCTGTTCTGGTAAAACATTACCTATGAGCAAAAAGTAATATAGGGAGCTCCTTGTTCAGTGAAAACACTTGCACCATCATGTCTGAATCTTATATTCAGGCAATGACTGTGTGTGTGAATTTTGAATGCAGATGGTCATTGAAACAATTAAAAAGTTCCTTTTGAAAATTTACCTTTTTGGTTACGAAAGACACGTTTCCTGACATATTCCAGGACATTACAGTGAATGGCACACCTACATGATGCCTTTCTGCTCCCCTGGATGTGCCCCTGGCACGTCTCTTACACACCACATAAAGTATCTCTCTTGCTAGAGACATTGTCCCCATCTGTTCCATTGTCACCGTGACGACCAGCACCACCTGCTCTTTCCAGTCTCTACCTGGGTTGTTTTTTTTTGGTAGAAATAAAAGTTATCTCCAAAAAGGCTGTTCTCACCTCAGTTTGTATTATCTACTCCCCTTTCTATATCTGATTAGTGATTGTAGCTACTTTCTCATTGCTCCACAAACTGCCAAAAATGAGGTTTGTGCACGATTTTTTTTTTCCATTGCAGTGATTTAGGTGGCTTTTCATACCAAGTTTAATTACAACTCTGAAAAGGAGCTCGCTTTACTCTATTAGGAAAGAATATATGAAAAAGCCTGAACATTTTCTGTTTCCAATTTCCGTATAAGATACTGTATTTAATAACTCCACTTTTTCACAGTCTAATAACCTGCCTTCCAACTTTTAGATACATACATTCTTTAAGATTCTCCTGTGTTTCTCGTGAAGATGAGCGTGTTCTTCAGTATTTGTCAGGACTATATTTGAGAAGAATGGCAGAATTTGTCATCACCTGAGCAAAAGCACTTGTTTGGTTAGAAGCGAATGCAGCTACGTACGTAGCTGGAAGTGAAGGAAGACTGTTTATTAGCACAGTGATTTAAGAAAAATTTTTACATTAAAACCCCCTATATGTACCAAGGATATTAAAAATTTATTAGGTACTTAGCAAGGAGGTTTTTTTCATCTCATCAAAATTTAAGGCTAGCTATCAAGCTATACACAAGTATGACATATAGAATTAATTTTAAAGGCATTTTTAAGATTGGTTTTCAAGAAAGACTAACCAGATTTCAATTCCAAACCTGTGCAAAAGGCATGAAGTTTAAAAGCAAAGGGCAAACAGGTTCTAAAAGATAACTGATCTTATCCTAAATCACTATCATACTTTGTTCAAATAACAAGAAATGATCTGTGAACTATTTGGACACGTTTCCCTGCTGTATATGGATTATATTTTTCGAAATCTATAATTTTAAAGAAAACACAAGGTAGGTTTAAATTACTTCCATTAGTAGATGTATTTTTTTACTATTAAAAAAAAGGCACCATAGTATATATTCCTGATTAATCTAAAAATACCTGTGTTTGGGGTGACAAACTATGCATGAAGGAACCTCAGTGAGTTTATTGCTGCTCGTTGTGTAAAATCTATGAATTCAGCTGAGAGATGAGCGGGATGTTTGCTTCTTTTCGCATGTGCCCTTACAACTGACTTGTCTGCAACTCAGTTTTCCTTCAAGCCATCACTAAATCCAAATAGATGGACTCGCAGCATCTGGAAGGGAATAGGATCAAGTCACTTGTTTTGACTTCTAGGCCCAAAAAGTATTTTTGCCACCAAGACAAACTTCCCTACACCAAGTAAGAACCCAGAGACAGTTTTTTTTTTGCTATTACAAAGCAGTGAGTTGTCTGTGATACTTAAATACCTTGTCCAATAGCTTAAAATTTAAATATTTCACACATATTTAAATTCTTTTCTTTGATAATGCCTAAAAATTCCCTTTTTTTGAGCGCCTATCCACAGGGTAGCTGCAAGAGCTACCTCTCTTGAAGACAATAAAAGAGAACAGCAATCAAAACTGAGTCATGCACTTATCAAAATGTTGCTTAAGAATTCTTAAATGGCAACTGCTCACAAGAAGCAAAAATAGAATCCAAACCTGAGCAACTGTCCCACTGCAGAAGTTCATACAATGCATCCAAGATTAGTTCAGACTATCAAAGCGATGAGCAGAGGGTGCTGTAAACCTGGCAAGCAATAATTAAACACACATAAATTATTTAACACAATGTTTGAGTAGTGAGAATGTTAGACCTGTACCTGGATTCACACAGACCCACTTCACTAAGACATTCAACTGTGACAAGTCTGATTTAGGTAACAAGTAGCCACTATATACAACCCAATTCCATTTGTTCCTCTAAACTGAGCTGTGGTATCAGCACTAGATACAGAACCATTTTGGGCTTTTTAATACAAGTGGTTTTAGCAACCCGGGTATCGGTACCAGAAACAGATAAAGCCCTAAGCATTGCTCTGCAAATACAACCTCAAATTTGTCACAGCAGCAGGATGGCACAAAATACAATCTTGTATACATTGAAATATCAACAAATTTAAGTATAGACAACTATACTCATAACTGACAAATAATCTATTCTATAATACTTCGTTTGACATAAAATATTTTGACTGTGACTCTTAATTTTTGTAATTATCTGCAATTAAATTTAAACTAGAGTTTAACTACAATGTTTATTTTTCACGATTTACATTATTGCAAGAGGTTGCTTGTTTTGGCTATTTCTATCACAGGAACTTACATGCTTTTTAAAATTGTTAACCTTATTAATTTAGCTCTGCTACTGAAACATGTGCTTTGGGGTTTTGCTTTTTGGTTTGTTTTTTTTTTGTTTGGTTTGTTTTTTTTTTTTTAAATGCTCTGTGGTATTGGAGAAGATTATTCTGCAAATTGCTGCATACAGGTGGGGAAAAGTGAATTTACACCTCAAAATACTCTCTAATTGAGATATTTGCATTGTCTATTTCAGACACCAAATATTTTCTTTAGTAACTGAAACTTCCATGTTTCAGATATTGAAGTAGTAAAATCAAGATGACATTCAATGCAACATCCTGTAAAAAAGGCAACAAACCATTGCAACATTGAGCTGCTGGGGAAAATACTATTTATTATACATTTAAATACAAATTTGAAATGTGTTGTGGACACAATCTGCAGGGTTACAGGTAAAAAATAAAAACGTACAAAGTTACGTTCTGCATCTCTCAAGTTTGACGCTTCAAAAAAAAAATTTCACAAAGTACCAAAAAAGTTCATCTTTGTAAGAACAGCAAAGATTATAACCAATACAATCTTTTGCTGGGCCGATTATTTTTGTTCCCTTCCCTGCGTAAAGTACCTAGAGCTTGTCAAGAGTCCGTCGAAGTGTGACCAGCTTGAAGGAATGTGTGATCACCGTTCGGATGGGTTCGTCCCGCAGTGAGTCCTAACCCTACACAGTCGTTTCGTGTTTCCACAACCCAGTTCTGATATTCCCAGTACTGTCCGCAGTGAGCAAGGGGCCGTCCTGCCCGCTGCTTTTAAGGGGTCCGTTCTGAATGGCTAAATTCAAGCCGTAAGATTTCTGTTGGTTTTCAAGTTCGACCGCTATGGGTTTCCTTAGAATCTCTTTTTTGTTGTTGGCGGGTATCGTTTTTTCCGTATTCCTGCCGCTTTTGGGAAGGGTGCTGCAAGCATCGCTGCTGTCTTGTTGGGACTGGTTGTACTGCCTTTCCCTGTAGGCCAAGTAGGCCCTTCTGCTCCTGGAGTGCCCTTCGCCGTTGCTTTGGCGGCTTTTGGGCAGGCCGTTCTGGACGCTGCCCTCCACGCTGGTGGGCACGTCGTAGGCGTACTCCCTCAGCACGGCCAGCCTGCTGGCACGGTGCCCCTTGCTTCTGTTCTTGTGGTGCCTGCTGGGGTGTCCGTTTGTCCGGAACTGGACCTCTAAGGGTGCCACGTGCATTTTGATATCATTATCCACCGAGTGCTCGGTGAGGCTGTTGTCCAGCTGAGGACCCGTGTTCAGGGGCAGAGAAGCGGGGTGGCACTGGGCCGCCGCGGCCTGTAAGTTTGTGAGTTTACAGCCCTGAGAAGAGTTTTTCAGGCTGGAGGCGCTTTTGTTGGTGCAGGAGGATTCCGCGCTGCTGTTGGTGCACTTGGGGGCCTCTCCGTTGGTCCCGCTGGAACTGGAGGGCTGAACGTTCACCTGCACCGAGTAGGTGCTCCTGCCAGGGCAGCAGGTGGTTATCCAGGCGTGCCTGACGTCCTCCCTGTTGACGCAATGGTGGACCATCAGGAAGGCGCTGAGGCTTAAACAGGTGGCCCCAAAGAAACAGCTGAAGATGAGGTCCATGGGATAGTAGAGGGAAACCGACAGAGCTCCGAAGATCCACAAAGCCACGTAGAGAAGCAGGGTGAGGCCCACCCCCAGCAGCTGGGCCTGGAAACTGTGCTCGTTCTCCAGAGCAGACGTGGACACCAGTGACACCGACAATGAATCCTGGTGAGCCAGCTCCCCGTGTTCGTTGGTGGCCAGGCGCTGCTGCTCCTCAACAGGCTCCTTGAGTTCGTACTTCCGTTCAGGGTGACGTTTCAGTTGTATGAATATGCTGAGGAAATACATGCAGTTTATGAAAATGATAAAGCTCGCTGGTCCATAAAATGCTCCTAAGCTGGGTTCCCAAGTCATCCAGCAACTGGAAAAGAAACAAAATCAAAGAATCAAAATTAATGTCTCCTCACAAGTCACGCTTTACCAGTCCTTAATGGTATTATGAAACAATCTTGGCTGTGTCCCATCTTCTGGAAGAATCAGAATTAATTACAATGACTACTTAGAAAAGCAAACCCACAGATCATAGAATCACAGAATGGTTCGAGTTGGAAGGGACCTTAAAGATCATTGAGTTCCAACTCCCCTGCCATGGGCAGGGACACCTCCCACCAGACCAGGTTGCTCTGACAGAGCTCTCAGTTGTATGGTACTTACTAAGGAGCATTAGGTCTGCTGCCATAATTTCGGATGTTTGCTGCTGCTGTTATTCCACAAACTATGATGGGGATCCCTCCACCGATAAGGTAGAACCTAAAAAAGTAAAGCCAGTGCAAGCTTAATGGCAAATGGATTTTATTCAGTCACCAGGAAGGAAATGAGAGCTCTCCAGGACACTGGGAATATGCAAATTCTTTAAGAAAATAAATAGGGTGAATCAGGTTTGGGCTTTGGCAGTATTTCCTCACTATGATTTTTTTCCTCCTGTTGCAAACCACTTCTCTCACAGCTCCTCACCTCTCTCACAGGCACATACACGGTGAGAGGGAAGAAGCAAAAGCTGGGGGTCAAAAGTTGTAAACTGCTGGAAAAGAATACAGAAACTTAGAAGAAAAATAGTAAGTGTTACATTCTTTTTGCCAGAGATGAACTTGCCTGACGCTATGTTCAGAAGATCAGCCATAAGAACTCTTGTTGCTTGGGGTTTTTTCATGTGGAGGTGTTTGGAGGGGTGGTGTTGGTGTTGTTTTGATTTATTTATTTTTAATGGCCTCTATAATTTCATAGTATATACTTCCTGCTTCCCTGAAGTGGTAATAAAAACTGTCTGCCTTCCCAAGGATGAGGGCACACGTTGTTGGAGTATCGAACTTTTCATTCCTATTTCTGCGAATTCACATTGAATTCATTAGTGGCAGCTCAATAATTACTGACAATCATTCAAATTAATGGCACTCTGTCCTGCATCTTATGTTAATCCTGTCCAAAATCATGTCGGAACCCACAGTGAAAACTACTGCTGTGACACATGCATGGGGAGTTGGTTTGTCAACAAGAGACACATATTCCGATGGTCCTGGACCTTCCCTCTGCATTTCACATTATTCAGAAGAAGTTACTGCTGTCCCACTTGAGACACAAAACAACAGTCTAAAATAGATTAAGTCTTTCTTGGAAGTCTAGGTACACTAAATCACAGAATCACAGAATCACAGAATCTTCTAGGTTGGAAGGGACCTTAAAGATCATCTTGTCCAACCATCAACCTAACTTTGACAAAAATAGACACCCACACAACAAACAAGAAGCATCACCATCACTAAACCATACCTCCCAGCACTACATCAACCCGTCTTTTGAACACCTCCAGGGATGGTGCCTCAACCACCTCCCTGGGCAGCCCATTCCAATGTCTGATAACCCTTTCAGTGAAAAAATTTTTCCTAATATCCAGCCTGAACCTCCCCTGGCGCAACTTGAGGCCATTTCCTCTCATCCTGTCGCCTGTGACTTGAGAGAAGAGACCGACCCCACCTCTCTACACCCTCCTTTCAGGTAGTTGTAGAGAGCAATAAGGTCTCCCCTCAGCCTCCTCTTCTCCAGGCTGAATAACCCCAGTTCCCTCAGCCTCTCCTCATAAGACTTGTTCTCCAGACCCCTCACCATCTTATGGTTACATAGTCACTGAATCCTACAAAGATCAAATCCTGTCATTGGTTTAGTCCGTATCTTGAAACAATGATCAGGGTGGGTTTTTTTTCTGTTCCAAAAGGCCCTTTGTAATTCTGGAAATGCTTAGGAAGGAGAAATATAAACAGCGTGGAGGCAAATAGAGAATCAGTTGTTCTGCCTCCTTAAACTCAAGGAACAGGATGGCTGATAACAGCAGGTGATGGGTTCCAAACAAACAAGCAGCTCTCACACAAGCTCTTTGCCCTTTGCCACTAGGGGTACCTTTGTTTCAAAATAAGTTTAAAAGACAACTGAATGAGAGAAAAAAAGAAAAAAAAAAGTCCTTCTATGGCTGTTCCATGCAAAAACCTTGCAGATCCCTTATCAGCAAGAAGCTGGACATTGAGAAAATTTGAAAAATATGAAAAAAAAGTCATGACAGATGTTGCAAAGGCTACTCAGTACCCTGCTGGAAGGCACACAGCTGGCGATGGGCTTGACATCCTACAGTCAATAAAACACGTTTACTTTTTTCTTAAAATAAAAATTGCAAAGACAGCACTTAAGGGGGTATAAATATTAACCTTCTACCTTGTTAAAGATTTCTATAAGCTTGCATATAGTACTGCAAATTTTAGTTGACAATATTCAGAAAAGCATTTCTGGTTTTTGGCATCTCTGTACTTCAAAATCAAGCTTTCTAAACATTTGCCTAAACTAATCAAAGTTAATCAACTTCTGCCACCTTGTGGAGAATTTCAGCTTAGCAGTTTTTAATTAATACCCAGAGGCTCAGGAAACTACATGAACAAAGTATGTTAATGTTTTCTATTAAAAGCATTTCACACATGGTGAATTTCACAGCTAATTCATTTTTCCCATTTCAGTGATTTCAGAAATAAAAACAATCTAAGAGGAATGCCTCTCAAAGAACACTACTTTCATTTGATAATGAGTGACGCCTATTTTTCAAATTCTTTATAAGCAATCTTTGGAAAAACTTATTAAGCTTTATTTACTTAAATTGCAGTGTTTGTTCCCTGCGTGATAACTCAGTTCTCCACATTCTTTTATAATACTTTAATGGGAAGTGTTGCTATCTAAATTCCTAATCAAAGCTCCAATGGTAATGCTGAAATACTACCAATTACTTAATTTACTAATCAGGAACACAGCATTGCAAGAGTAATATGCTAAGACCAATCGTCCTTCCCCTCATCTTCCTTGACAAAAAGCTGAGGAACAGAAAATCTGGAAGGGACTTTATGGACCTGGAAAGAAAATCTTCTATGAAAGGCACTTGGAAAAACCAGTAGTGACCTGTCACATTTTCTGGTGAGAATGTGAGCGTAGAGACCCAGGAAATCCTGAGCTGTGGATGTGAATGAGGGGCTCACCTCAGCATCGGTCTGGGTGGAGGAGGTGGCTCATCAGGATCTTGACATCTTTTTGCTTTTTTGGTTACTTGCTTGTAAATATTACGAGAAGTCACTCCCAGCCACAGGACTGTCGCAAGAGTGGAATAGTGGAGAATTATCCCAACCTTAAAAAAACCCAAATAATAAAAATGAACCCTCAAACATTTCCTTTATACCAAATTAAAAACTAATTATTTAACGCATAACTGGCATAAAGCCTGAATTTTCAAAGCCTGAGTTCAAGAGAAGAAAAACCCCTCTAATTTTAATACAACTGTTCTAAATGCCAAATCATTGTGGTTTTCAAAAAAGGCAAAGTATGTTATCAAACCCATCTTCCCACCAGGGGAGTCTGGGAAGGCTCCAGAGATGCAGTTTCCTCTAGTGGAAGGAAAACTTAATAACACAGGAAGAACTTCGCTGGCCAACATCTCCCATGTTACACATCAATAATACACTTTAGGAAAGTGTATTTTATGAAACACTTTAAGATGTTAAATTTTTTCTTTAAATGTTTACAATTTTATAAACTGAACAGCGTTTTCTTTAGAAAAGCTCCATGAATTCCCAAATTCATAACTGAATTAGAGATGGCCAAACCTCAGCAGAACAAATGATTATAAAAGAGGAGTCTCAATAAAGCTGGTGATATTTGTTTGGAGAAAGCAAAAGTTGACTTGAAATACTTCTTTCTCCCTCCCTTCAGGATATACTGAGCAAATAGAAAAATATATTTTAATAGCTATGGAAATCAGTTTTCACATGGTCTGTAAAGGCTACAACATAGGCCTATAAACCAATTCCATAACAAGCAAGTTTCAAAAATAAAACTAATGGGTAAAATTTAATTTTTTGTTATAGTGTTTTGAACAAAAAAAGAATTTCTGTTGCACTTCTGAAATACTTTTCCAGTTTTCAAGTAACAAATTAGTTTTATCTTCATGGTTGGACGAAAATACAAGAGAAATCTGTAAAGGTAAAAAAAAAAGATTGGATTTTTTGTCTAAATTTTACATTCTGGTGAAAATGCCTGTACAGAAGGTGTATATGTATGTAGGAATATGACACTGGTACCTAATTTTTTCAAGCATTTGCATGTTTACTTACTGCTTGACAAATGCTGGCATTCCTGGTCTGAGTTATGCCTCCAATAAACATCACACACGTCAGGAAAATATGAAAGCTCAGGTTAACCAGCATATGCCAGCTTTTTACACTGATCCTGATCACACTGTTAAAAGGAACAAATTAGACAACATAAAACACAGCTGCATTATTGTCTTTCAGAAACTAGCAAGATACACTCGTGATAAATGAGATATAATTACTGTTAATGATTGTTTGACTACCACATAGTTTGTAATCAAATATAATCTCTGGTCTTCATCACAAGAAATTAAACCACCCTCCTATTAACTAGCTTTATACAACTATTTGGGGCCTGATTCAAAAATGTTAGGCTTCAAGCTTTCACATTAACAGAAATGTAAAAGGCTGAACAGTTTGTTGAATTCTGCCATCATTCTGGAGTGGTCTCTTCTTTCACCATGAAGCAAAAGTGAAGAATTATAGTTATGAGAGCTAAAGTGTCCTACTCCAGAACAGATGAAATAGCCACTTGCTTAACTGTTGGTTTGCATCAACAAATTTTGTAGGAAAAAAAAAATAAAATCAAATGCAGATTATAGTGTTCTTATCAAAAAGAAAAGTAATTTTTTTCAGCCTAGTAATTTTGATTCTTACCTGTGATGGTACACGTAACTGACAATGATCATTAACAGGCACATCAGCAAAACCATGGCAGTGGCATAAATTACTGGATGCAAAAGGTCCGCTGGCTGCGTGTATAACTCAGCTCCTGTCAAATCCTGCCAACAAAAACAAAATTAACATTAGACCACCTTCTCTCTTCATTTTGTGAGGTTAGGGGGAAACGACAGACGAAACACAAAAGAAGAGCAGTAGTAACAGGAACCTTCTAGATGAACCTGTTCCCCCACCACAACCTTCTAATTATTTATTATTTGATGTTCCTGCCTTTCTTCCACAATTACTGGCTATTCCAGCTGACCTTTACAGATGCAGTCACACATCTTAAATTTCATATAAGCTTGAATATACAGAGAAGTTAGCAGCTTCATTTTTTGTTTCTTAAAACTATTTTTTTCTTTTTGAAACACTTACATGTACAGCATGTAGAATGGAGTTTCAGTTACGATTATTGTCTCCTGCAACAACCCAAAGAAGGTTAAAGAAAGTGCCCTCAGCAAGTCTGCAGATGATGCTATAGACTGAGGAGACTGATCAATAGATTGGAAGATATTCAGAGGGATGTTCAGGAGCCAGAGAAATGGGATGATAAAAGATTGTGAAATTTAGCAAAGGGAAATATGAAAAGATCTGCACCTGGGATGGAATAACCCCGAGCACACAACAGTACAGGCTGGGCACTGGACGGAATAGAAAGCAACCAAAGAACCACTTGAGGGGACTGCAAGACAGAAGTTGCCGACAAGTCAGCTGTGCAGTCTGCAGCCCAAGGCCACACTCCAAAAAACCACCACAAGCAGGTGAATTGATGATTCTCCATCTGTACAGCACTGTGAGACCACCTCTGCAGAACTGTCTTCAGTTTGAGTCTCACCAGTCCAAGGAAGGATCCAGTACATTCTGGATGCAACAAGTCTAACATATCACTGGGATGAGTAATGAGCTGAAGGACCTAATGTCGAAGGCTGAAAAAGCTGGATTTGTTAATCTTTAGGAAGTAAAGGCTGAGAGAGCTGGGGTTGCTCAGTCTGGAGAAGAGAAGGCTCCAAGGAGACCTTAAAACAGCGTTCCAATAAGTAAAAGGGGCTACAGGAGAGATGAGGAGAGACTCTTGATCAGGGAGTGGACCCACAGGACAAGAGGTAATGGTTTTAAACTGAAAGAGGGGAGATTTAGATTAGATATTAGGAAGAAATTCTTCCCTGTGAGGGTGGTGAGACACTGGAACAGGTTGCCCAGAGAAGCTGTGCCTGCCCCATCCCTGGAGGGGTTCAAGGTCAGGCTGGATGGGGCTTGGAGCAACCTGGTCTGGTGGGAGGTGTCCCTGCCCAGGGCAGGGGGGTTGGAACTTTAAGGTCCCTTCCAACCCAAACCATTCTATGATTCTAAAAGGAAGATGGAAGAAGTTTCATTGTTATATTGAACTACCTACTGGGACTGTATTAAGAAGACTGAGGCAAACTCTTCTTGGAGCTGACCCATGAAATGATGGGCAGCTACAGACATTAATCAGCATTGTGGAAAATGCTGATTAGATACATGAGATAAAA